GTCTCACAAGATCTGATGGCTTTGTTTTGTTTTGTTTGAGACAGAGTTTCGCTCTTGTTGCCGAAGCAGAGTGTAATGGTGCAGTCTTGGCTCACTGCAACCTCTGCCTCCGGGTTCAAGTGATTCTCCTGCCTCAGCCTCCTGAGTAACTGGGATTACAAGCATGCACCACCAAGCCCAGCTAACTTTTTGTATTTTTAGTAGAAACAGGGTTTCACCATGTTAGCCAGGCTGGTCTTCAACTCCTGACCTCAGGTGATCCACCCACCTCGGCCTATCAAAGTGCTGGGATTACAGGCGTAAGCCACCATGCCAAGCCAAGATCTGACGGTTTTATAAAGGGGGGTTTCCCTGCACAAGCTCTCTTCCTTGTCTGCCACCATGTAAGATGTGTCTTTCAGCTTCTGCCATGATTGGGAGGCTTCCCTAGCCACGTGGAACTGTGATTCTTTTGTAAATTGCCCAGTCTCGGGTATGTCTTTATCAACAGCACGAAAATGAACTAATATACATGTTGATCTGAAGCTGAAGCCTTGCTTCAGACAACTTATGTTTTTCTCACGCATTTACACTAAGGGCTAGAAAAAAGATATGAAATAGTCATGAACAGATAAACTAGTTGATGTATGTGTGTATGTATACATATGTGTATATCTAAGTTATAGACAGATACACACACACACACACACACACATATATATCTCAAATGTAAGACAAGATATAATGTGTACTTACTATTCTCTTTTGCCATTTTCTAGTTTGGGGGAAAGTTCTATTAAATCTAAATTGATGAACATTATTCCCCCTGCTGGTACCAAAAGTCCTGACTTGTAGGGAAGACAAAGCCGAGGTCAGTGCATAAGCCTGAGCTGGGAAACACAGATTCTGACTGAGTAGGCGTGGAGTGCAATCCGAGTTTCTGCCTCAGCTGATGCTGATGCTGCTAGTCTGTGGCCCACCCTTTGAATGCCAAGGGACTGGATGATTTCTGGCAATCCTTTCTCATTCTGTTGCAGTTGTTTTGCTTGGAAAACTTTCTACCTTTTAGAAGTATTCACCTATAAATCACTTACAGTTTATATAGTTTCAGGTGATAACAAAATAGGACATTTCAAGGCATGGAATTAAAAAGGTAAGTAACATTATTAAATATAATCCAGAATTTTCCCTAAGGTAATAAAAGCTTTCAAAGTTAGTGATAAGTGTGAGGCTTGAATTTTTAAGGATGCTCTTAAAACCCGGTGGACAGCCATTGCTGAGTGAAGATTCAGTCCTCGTCTCTCTTATTGGAAGGTGAATGTGGGCTAGTTCAGTAGATATCAAAGTTTTTGTTTGTGACCCACAGTAAGAAACATATTTTAGGTTGTGATCTCACACATAAATAAAAGCTTCCTAAATAAAACAATATCAATATGTACTCTGATAACATTTATTATAATGCAATTCATTTGTTTTTTGAGATGGAGTCTCGCACTTGTCGCCCAGACTAGAGTGCAATGGCATGATCTTGGCTCACTGCAACCTCAGCCTCCCGAGTTCAAGCGATTCTCCTGCCTCAGCCTTCCCAGTAGCTGGGATTACAGGCATGTGTCACCACACCCAGCTTATTTTGTATTTTAGTAGAGATGGGGTTTCTCCATGTTGGTCAGGCTGATCTTGAACTCCTAACCTCAGGTAATCTGCCCGCCTCAGCTTCCCAAAGTGCTGGGATTATAGGCGTGAGCCACCACACCCAGCCTGCAATCCATTTTTTTTTTTTTTTTTATGTTTTTCACAAGTGCATGGTGGCCTGCAGTTTGCAAAATTGGAAGTGGATGACCTTTTTAGCATTCATCTTTAAAAAAAAATCATTATTCTTTGGCAAAATGTCATAAGACTGTATTGCATTTAGGTTCTTTGAAGCATTCATTTATCTTTATTATTGTGTGAGATGGAATATTGGAAAGTGGGATTCCAGGGTAGGCTGGATGGCAGAAAAGACCTGCTTGCTCTGTCTTCCAGGAGCTTTTTATTACAGATACCACTTAGTTTCCCCCAACCTACAATATAACTACATGTTTGATTTCTGGAATTTTATAAGGGCAAACTGGAGTATTTTTTCCCTCAAAACTATTTAACGCTCAATTAAGCAGGCAGCAGAGCAGCATGGTTAAGAGCATGAACTGATGGCAGACTGTCTGGTCAGCATCCTGGCCATCCCACGTAATAGCTGTATAACTTTGGTCTACTTACTTCACCTTACAGAACTCACTTTCCTCATCTATAAAATGGGAACACTAATACTAGTTGAGTATCCCTTTTCCAAAATGCTTGGGGCCAGGAGTACTTAGAATTTCAGATTTCCTTTTTTATTTTGGAATATTTGCGTATACACAATGAGATATCTGGGGGATGGGACTCAAGTCGAAACATAAAATTATGTTTCAACTATACCTCATGCACATACATATAGCCTGAAGGTAATTTTATACAACATTTAAAATAATTTCGTACATGAAACGAAGTGTGTGTACACAAGGTCAAGAGCGAAATTTTCTACTTGTGGTGTTATATCAGTGCTCAAAACATTTGGATTTTGGATTCTTGGATTAGGGATGGTCAGCCTGTAGTTCCTACCTAATAGAATTGAGGTGAAGATTGAATGGGTTAACGTCGTAGACAAATACAACAGGAATGTTATCAGCTACTGTTAGCTAGACTTCAATTACAATGTAAAATTTGAGCCTAACTCCAATTTCATGATGAAGTAGAAGAGTAGTATTACATGAATAAGTACTTCTAAGCCAATGTCTTGATATTGAGCTACAATAAATATTAAGTCCAATAAAAGTGTTTTTGGAAGTCCCAAATGCAATTTCCCCTCAGTCCTGATTCAAACAGGCCTGCAATAACTTAGTTATCCAACAATTAACATTCTAAAACTACACTCAGGGAAAAAAGATTCTACCAGAAATTTACATTTTGTACTAGAACATAAAGATCCAGCAAAATGTCACACTTCTGTGGGAATGTTGTTGTTTACAACAACAGTCAGGGATTTGTTGTTTAAGTGGAAGGATGCAGGCTCTATTCTGTGTAACACCAAAGAAAATATGACATGTTTGAGAAATTTTTTTTTTGAGTGGTAGTCTTCCTTTCTCTGTTGTTACCCATTTTTCGGGTGCATTGGGGGCATCCGTGGAAAGTGTTTATAGAAGTTTAGAAAGAGATTCGGCTGCTAAAGGAAAGAAATATGGTATCCGTTTTTCAGATGTTCTACCTATTAAATTGTGAAAATAATAGTATAGATACCCTTTCAAAGTTCTAAATTGGTTAACTTTCCCCCAAAAAACTAACAAATGAACCTAAACAGCTATAATATAAACTTTTATAAATATGGTCTAGAACCAAATATACTACCTGTCGTGGAAATGATTACACCACAGAAGGAAGTGAGAATCAGTCTTACGTGCCTTCTTGCTTATGACATGCCATTGCTGTCTGTGTGGGTAAAAATCTATGACTATAGTTAGCTGCCTAAATGGCCATAGGAAACTAGTGTGTGTTCAGTGCCTAACTGTAAACACTTCTAACACTTGAACCATAAAGGCTTTGTATGTATGCGGATTTTCATAAGGTCAGAATGGGAGTACAGCACAGAGTATTTGAAATAAAGGTATTTTTCTGGCTGGGCACTGTGGCTCACACCTGTAAACCCAGCACTTTGGGAGGCTGAGGCGGGTAGATCATTTGAAGTTAGGAGTTTGAGACCAGTTTGGCAAACATGGTGAAAGCTCATCTCTACCAAAAGTACAAAAATTAGCTGGGCATGGTGGCGTGCACCTGTAATCCCAGCTACTCTGGAGGCTGAGGCAGAATTGCTTAAACCCGGAAGGTGGAGGTTGCAGTGAGCCGAGATAGCACCACTGCACTCTAGCCTAGGTGACAGAGTGAGACTCCATCTCTAAATAAATAAATAAATAAATAAATAAAGGTATTTTTCCAAATAAAGTCTAAAAGGAAAACATGAACTCTCTCCTCTCCCTGGTTCCTTACTCCTGTTAGTCACAAAGCTTGTCCAAATGCCTCCTCTCCTTCCCACTCCTCCCCCTCCCTATGCCCTTGCCCAGGACTTCATTAGCCCACATTTGCATCTCCACGGCCTCCTGTAGGTTGCCTTGAGACCTGAGGCCTTTCCAGCATAGCTTCAATACTACTACTGCTAGGCCTAATCGGTAAAAACCTTACTTCAGGTTTGTCATCTTCTGTCTTTATATTCTCATCACTTCCTTGGTTTAACTTTCCCAAGCTTGCAGATGGCCCCTTGAGTCCTCTCCTGATTGCCCCTAGAGCATACAGACACTGGAATCTGCCCACTGAATTCCTGTATCCAGATGTTCCACCCTCATGTTCCAAATCCTGCATGGCAAATGCCACCTTGTTCCTCTCCCCAAGTCAAAGATGTCAAGCCACTGACTTTCATTCAGTCACTTGAGCTGGAAATCTAGAAGTTATCATTGGCTCTTCCCATGACCTCAGCAGCACAGACAGCTCATGAATCCTGGCCCCACTGCGCTGTACCTATCTGCTTTCCTTACATTCAGTTCTTGTGGCTTTTTGCCCAGATGAGAAGACTTTGCAATATAATACTGTGTATTGAGGGCAGAGAAAGAAAATATGAGAAAGTATATGTATTTATGTTAAAAGGTAAGAAATGAAGCTTTCTTAATATTTGCTATAAAGTAGACACCTGGGTCCTCATTTGTCTCTTATGTTCCCTGTTCACATGTCAAACAGAACAACAGGAAGTATCCTGAGGGCGTGGTCGGAGTTCCACTGTTGGTATTATTCTGTATTGCTGTTTCCTTGCTATGAGTTGTTTTCAATGGCCCTAATTTTGTAAAAGCAAGATTTTGAAATAACAGGCCATCACTAAAATGGGCAGGCAAACACTAGGAGTTTTCTGGCTTTTTTCTTGGCAAAGTATTTAAAGATAAGTTACACATTCTTTTTTCTTTTAGATGAAAATGTCGTTTAAGTCTGGGAAGAAAATTCTGAGACATGTTCTACAGGATGACTATTAAGGCACATCCTTGGTTTCAACACCCGTAGAAGGAAGCGGGGGGAAGAAGGAAGCAAACTGAGGAGAGACAGACTTTGAGATGCATTTCCGGCCAGGACACTAGGTTGAATCCACGGGCGCTCTGGAGCTAAAATGGCCCTTCAGAGTTGTCCTGAGCTGGGCTGAGATGGCCAGTTCTTTATGTTCCTGCATGGGATGGTCACTGGGTGTCCACCCCAGGAAGGGGTGCGGCCCAGGCAGTCCCTGAGATGCCCGCCAGCACTCTCTACATCTGGAGCAGCAAGACCAACATCACAGGAGGATGCGCTGGGTGATGGATCACAGTATTCATCCCAGAAGACAAGGATACAGAATTGGCTGCTGCTACTGTCTAAATGTTAATGTTCCCCAAAATTCATATGTTGAAACTTAATTCCCTAATGTGATGGCATTAGAAAGTGGGGCCTTTGGGAGGGGCTGTAGGTCATGAGGGTTACACCCTAATCTTGGGGTGTAAGGATTAGTATCCAGGGAGCTGCCTTCCCCTTCCACCAAGTGAGGACATAGTGAGAAGCTGCCATCTATGAACTAGGAAGTGGGTGCTTACCACCAGACATCTAATCCTCTGGCAACTTGATCTTGAATTTCTCAGCCTCCAGAGCTCTTGAGAAACCAATTTCTGTTGATTATACGCCACCCAGTCTATAGCATTTTGTTAAAGCAGCTGGAACTAAACTAAGACACTGACATTTTCTGCAACAAAAAGAGTGTCTCTATAGCACACCATGTAACAGATGTTTTTGAAAAAAATAAACTCATTTCATATGTTTCCTCGAGATAAAAAAAAATAGCATAACAACAAATGAGAAAATAGTTGCTTTAGAAATATTGCACCCTATGGAGAGAGTATTTTGGATTTTTGTGTTTTTGTTGTTGTTTTTAACTTTTGTTTTAGGTTTAGGGGCACATATACAGGTTTGTTATACAAGCGAACTCATGTCACGGCGGTTGGTTGTATAGATTATTTCATCATCCGGGTACTAAGCCTGGTACGTATTTCATCACCTGGGTACTAAGCCTGGTACAGTACTCAATAGTTGCTTTTTCTGCTCCTCTCCCTCCTCTCACCTGCCACCCTCAAATAGGCACCAGTGTGTGTTGTTTCCTTCATTATGCTCATGAGTTTGAGAGAGTATTTTGAAAAAGAATGTTAGAAAGCATTTCTGCTCTTAGATGATTTTAAGTCAAAAAGCTATACAACGGTGTCTCCTATATGCACGCAAGCATGGACACAGAATTGTTTCATATGTTTAAAACTTTTCTAGATCCCTTTTGTGGTTCATAAGCTTGATGATTGCGTTTTCACATCCACATGTGAGATATGCCTCCCTCAAGCCTTGCTACAACATCGGCACATTACCTGCGGGACGTGAGCAAGAAAAAAAAATAAAAATTTCCTAAACAGAGTTTCTTTGGATTTCTAACTTATTTATAAAAACAAGAAAAATGTAACATTTTCCATTCAGTGTTCAAGAACAACTAAGTGACATAGTAAAGATGGACATTTGCTAGCTGAATTTCAAGAAAAATCTTTCTATAATAAGTAGATGAGATTGAAAAACTGTGTTCAAAAGTCAATCAGAAGACTTGGTAACATAGTGAGACTCTATCTCTACAAAAATTTAAAAAATTAGCCAGGAATGGTGGCACATGCCTGTAGTCCTGGCTACTCAGGAAGTTGAGGTGGGAGGATTGCTTGAGCCTAGGAGCTGGGGCCACAGTGAGCCATGATTGCACCACTGCACTCCAGCCTGGGCAACAGAGTGAGACCCTGTCTAAAAAAAGAAAAGAAATAAGTTAGAGTGGCACTGCTTTCATTTGAAATTGTTCATCTTTTTGAGGTATTAAAAACGATTTCTTGCCACACTGCTGACACCAAATGTGGGAGTGTGTGTCCGTAACAACCAACTCGCCAACCCTCTATACACCAACTGATTGTCCTACAATTCATTTCTTTCTTTCTTTCTTTTTTTTTTTTTTTGAGACAGTCTTGCTCAGTGGTCCAGGCTGTAGGTGGCATGATCTCACCTCACGGCAACCTCTGCCTCCTGGCTTCAAGCGATTCTCCTGCCTCAGCCTCCTGAGTAGCTGGGATTACAGGCACCTGCCACCATGTCCAGCTAATTTTTGTTTTTAGTAGAGATGGGGTTTCGCCTTGTTGGCCAGGCTGGCGAACTCCTGACCTCAGGTGATCCTCCCATCTTGGCCTCCCAAAGTGAAGTGTTGGGATTACAGATGTGAGCCACTGTGGTCAGCCCTGCAATTCAGTTCTGACACTACCCAGAGTTAGTGCAGCCCCTGTGGGTTATGGGTTCCATTCCACAAGGCTGTCCCCACTTCAGATTCCAGTGCCAGAACTGGGCCTCCTGTACGTCTGAGCAATCAGCTATAAATCTATACATCAGGGCTCTTCACCATCCTCATACCTTATGTTGTTAGAACAGTTCACTCACAGAACTCAGGGAAACATTTTACTTTCATTGACTGGTTTATTATCAAGAATATGACAGATGAGAAAAATGAACAGCCAGATGAAGAGTACACAGAGTGAGGTCCCAAGCACAGGAGCTTCTGTCCCCATGGAGTTACGATGTGCCAACCTCCCAGCACATGGTTGTATTCACCAACCCAGAGGCCTTCTGAACCTGGTAGTTGAGGGATTCAGTGGAGGCTTCATCATGTAAGCATGACTCATTATTAACTCAGTCGCTAGTCCCTCCCCCTTCCCCAGAGGATGCAGGGTGGAGCTGAAAGTTCCAAGTTCTAATCATGGCTTGGTTTTGCTGGTGACCAGCTCCATTCAGGAGCCCATCAAGAGTTGCCTGGTTAGAACAAAAGACATTTCCATCGTCTTTTGGGCATCCCAAGAATTTTCAAAGGATTGAGGAGCTCTGTCTCAGGAATCAGAGTGTATTAGTCCATTCTCACATTGCTATAAAGAAATACCTGATACCGGGTAATTTATAAAGAAAGGTGGTTTAGTTGGCTCATGGTTCTGCCGGCTGTACTGAAAGCATAGTGGCTTCTGCTTCTGGGGATGCCTCAGGAAGTGCTTCCAATTATGGTGGAAGACAAAGGGGTAGCGGGGCATCTCACGTGGCTGGAGGAGGAGCAAGATAGAGGGGAGATGCCACACACTTTTAAACAACCAGATCTTGAGAGGACTTACTATTGTGCGAACAGTCCTAAGAGGATGGTGCTAAACCATTCATGAGAAATCTGCCCCCGTGACCCAGTCACCTCCCACCAGGCCCCACACTCAACACTGGGGTTTATAATTCTCCATGAAATTTGGGTGGGGACACAGATCCAAACCATACCACAGAGTTGAGGACCAAATATTAGAATAGAAGATGTTCCTAGTACTCCTATTGCTCAGGAAACTACAAGAGTTTTAGGAGCTCTGTGTCAAGAATTGGAGGCAGATACCAAACACATATTTCTTATTATGTCTTAGATTTTTTTTAAATTATGACAAACATTAAAATTAAATATTAAGATAAACTGAATATAGGTCATTGAACTGCCAAATCTCAAAGTATTAATCACTTTCAAAAGATTTTTTGAAGTAATGAAGACTAGTTGGTGATTGTTATGGATTGAATTATGTCTCACAAAAAGTTAAGTTGAAATCCTTATCCTCAGTTCCTATTTGGAAATGGGGTCGCTGCTGATATAATTAATTAAATTAAGATGAGGTCATAAGGGTAAACCGTTATCTTTTTTTTTTTTTTTTTTGAAAAAGGTTTTCGCTCCTGTGTCCCAGGCTGGAATGCAGTGGCACAATCTTGGCTCACTGCAACCTCTGCCTCCCAGATTCAAGCGATTCTCCTGCCTCAGCCTCCTGAGTAGCTGGGATTACAGGAGCCCACCACCATACCTGGCTAATTTTTGTGCTTTTAACAGAGATGGGGTTTCACCAAGTTGGCCAGGCTGGTCTTGAATTCCTGACCTCAGGTGATCCACCTGCCTCAGCCTCCCAAAGTGCTGGGATTACAGGTGTGAGCTACTGTGCCCAGCCGGTAGCCCCTCATTTTATATGACTGGTGTCCCTATAACGAGAAAAGAGAGCAGATAGACATAGAGGAGAGGACCAGCTAAGGAGAAGTCAAAGACTACATTTATGTTACCTCAAGCCAGGAAACACCTGGGTTATCCAACGCTGGTAGAGGCGAGGAAGGATCCTCCTCTAGAACCCTCAGAGGGTCCATGACCCTCCCAGCAGCTTGATTTTGGACTTCTATCCTCCACAACAGTGACAGAATAAACTCCTGTTTTTGTTTTTATTTTTGTTTTTGAGACAGAATCTCATTCCATCGCCAGGCTGGAATACAGTGGCGGGAACTCGGCTCACTGCGACCTCTGGCTCCCTGGTTCAAGCTATTCTCCTGCCTCAGCCTCCCGAGTAGCTGGGACTACAGGTGTGCACTACCACGCCCAGTTAATTTTTGTATTTCTTTAGTAGAGACAAGGTTTCACCATGTTGGCCAAGATGGTCTCGATCTCTTGTCCTCGTGATTCGCCCACCTCAGCCCCCCAAAGGTTACAGGTGTGAACCACAGTGCCCAGCCACTCCTATTGTTTGGTTCTTTGTACTTTGTGGTTCCAGCAAACTAATACAGTGATATTAAAAATTTTCTCTACTATTAGAAATACAATTTTAGGTGGGGGAAATATCACCTTCACCAAATGCAGCGCATTTGTGTGTTTTAACATTCAGAGAATTCTACCTTTTTGGGCACTTGAGGTGACCTGCCAATTAACTAAAGTCTTAAAGTAAACTTTTTTTTCCTTTGTAAATATGTCTAAATATACTACCCATTGGAAATTTAAAAGTAGAGTACTTTTCTGAGTACAGTACTACTTTTATCTTACACAGTATTTCACAGCTGTGATCTCTGGAGCATAAGCCAACAGCAGGAAAAAATAGTTTGTATGAGTTTCATGAAATATGTCTTTGGGTTTTCGTAAATAATTTTAACTCAAACAAAATTGCTTCTTGCCATAAAAAATAAAATTTTTAAAAAGTAAACATTTTATTTCTCATTTCATCCTCTAGCATTTCTTTTTCTGTACGTTCCATTACATAAAGAAGCAAGTGTGATAATTGTAAACAAATTTGCATTAAAGGTGTGTACTCAAAATTTTTTTGTTTTAACTTAAGAATGGCATACAATAAAAAAATACTTGAGTATATGCTGGAAATTGTGTTTGAAAAGGTCTTTGTAGAAATCCTTTGAAGCCTAGGACAATGGGCTTCTTTCTTTGTTTCTGCCAGGCCTTAAAGCTATACTAATCCAGGATTCCCCTAATCCAATTTCAGAATTTGAACTTTTCTGGGTCAGCCAGATCAGTCAAAGCCAACCAGGCTTCAGGTTTATTTTCAGCCGCCTCTTTATTCCCGTGGTGAGGCCCTTTGGGATCTCAGCCCTCTGTGCCTGGGATTCTCCGGCACCCCAGTCCCACAATCCAGCTTTGCCCTTGTCACCCAGAGTTGCGGAAAGCACTCCTCAGCCTCGTCTTAGACCTTTGAATGCGTCCCACCCCAGGTAAAAGAGCCTCCAAATGCCTGGTTCTTGTTTTAGATTTTCTATTTTTATCTTCTATTTAATCTTGGCCCACTTATTTTACATTGTCTTATTAGCTCTTTGATTATTATTATTTTTGAGATGGAGTTTTGCTCTTGTTGCCCAGGCTGGTGTGTAATGGCCTGATCTCGGCTCACTGTAGCCTCTGCCTCCCAGGTTCAAGCAATTCTCTTGCCTCAGATTCTGGAGTAGCTGGGATTACAGGCGCCCACCACCACCCCCAGCTAATTTTTGTATTTGTAGTAGAGATGGGGTTTCACCATATTGGTCAGGCTGGTCTCGAACTCCTGACCTCAGGTGATCCACCCACCTTGGCTTCCCAAAGTGCTAAGATTATAGGTGTGAGCCACTGTGCCCGGCCCCAGATCAACATTTTTAAAACAACGTTCCCATCAAGTTGTTTTCCTGCTCAAAAAAATGTTTTCAGTGACTCTCATTGTACAGTGGCCATGTACTATAACAATTTGGTGAAACTGGAATTTCCCAGTATTTCCTTTCCTGTGTGTTTCTGGATCAGCATTGGCCAATAAAGACATGTTGGATGATATTGGGGAGGTCGAAATAAAGCAGCTACCAATTTTTTTTAATGTTTTAGTGACTGGTGGAGGGCAGGCATATTGTCACAACTCTACAGCTAGCTCACCCATAGGCACGGGAAAGCACCCCAAACCCCAGATCCCCCATGTACTGTGCTGAGCAGTGTTGTCCCGTTAACATTCATGTTCACCAGTAACCTCAGAATGTGACCTTATTTGGTAATACAGTCTTTGCAACTGTAATTACTTATATTAAGACTACGTCATGATGGATTATGGGAGGCCCTAAATCCCATGACTGGTGTTCTTATAAGAAGGCCATGTGAAGACACAGAGACACAGACACGCAGGGAAGAACGCTGAGTGACTGTGGAGGCAGAGATTGGACTGATGCAGCTTGGCCAAGGAAGGCCAAGGGTTGCCGCCGCTACCCGAAGCTGGAAAGGACTCTTCATAAGAGCCCTGAGAGGGCACACGGGCCGGCCAATACCTTGCTTTTGGAGTCATGGCCTCCAGAACTGTGAGGGACTATGTGTGGTCGAAGACTCCCAGTTTCTCTGGTACTTTGTTATGGCAGTCCTAGGAAATGAACACACTCCAGCCCCTGCCAGATTTCACCCATCAGTTTCTTCAACTCCTGGACTGAGTCCATGGTCAGCTCTATAGTGAAGGGCATAACTTTCTTTTTTTTTTTTTGAGATGAAGTCTCACTCTTGTTGCCCAGGCTGGAGTGCAATGGCGTGAGCTTGGCTCCCTGCAACCTCAGCCTCCCGTGTGTGTTCAAGCAATTCTCCTGCCTCAGCCTCCCGAGCAGCTGGGATTACAGGCGTGTGCCACCATGCCCAGCTAAATTTTGTATTTTTACTAGAGATGGGGTTTCACCATGTTGGCCAGGCTGATCTTGAACTCCTGACCTCTGGTGCTATGCCCGCCTTAGCCTCCCAAAGTGCTGGGTGTGAGTGACCACGCCCAGCCTGGCACAAGCTTCTTCTACAAATTATCTACTATATCAAGGTTGGAAGTGGGGAATGGTGGAAGTGGTTCTGATTAGTCTTTGCAGGGTCTAGTTGTCTTTGTTGGTCCTGGTTTGCCCTTGCAGTTTCCAGTTCGCCCTTGCTCTTGTTCACGTCCAACTTTCCTTCCCAACTGCTGTTTGAGCAACTGTAGGCTCAACACCAGGCATGGAAACAGCAGCCTGCTTGGGCTGCCCTGTCAGTTCTCACAAGTGCCTGAGATTTAACATCTACAATAAATCCCGTATTCCATGCCACTTGTGGGGCTCGGGCTTTCTAATCATACTCTGACAGACTCTTTTCCAAATCAAGTGAAAATGAATTGAATGAAAGTAATCCTGCTACCCACTACCTTCCCTTATATTAAAATAAATGTATTTTATTTTAATATAAGTATTAAAGGTTCAGTGACCCACGCCTGTAATCCCAGCACTTTGGAAAGCTGAGGCGGGTGGGTCACTTGAGGTCAGGAGTTCAAGACCAGCCTGACTAACATGGTAAAACCGCATCTCTACAAAAACATACCAAAATTAGCCAGGTGTGGTGGCATACACCTATAGTCCCAGTTACTTGGGAGGCTGAGGCAGGAGACTCTCTTGAACCTGGGAGGCGGAGGTTGCAGTGAGCAGCCTGGGCAACAGAGCAAGACTCTGTCTCAAATAAATAAATAAAATATAAATTAGGGTATTAAGATTAATGGGATTTATTGAAGACATCCTAAGTGCAGGGTAGCACTGGGCTAGATAAGCTCTTTCTTTTTTTTTTTTTTAAGACGGAGTTTCGCTCTTGTTACCCAGGCTGGAGTGCAGTGGCGCGATCTTGGCTCACCACAACCTCCGCCTCCTGGGTTCAAGCAATTCTCCTGCCTTAGCCTCCCGAGTAGCTGGGACTACAGGCGTACGCCACCATGCTCAGCTAATTTTTGTATTTTTAGTAGAGATGGGGTTTCACCATGTTGGTCAGGATGGTCTCGATCTCTTTACCTCATGATCCAACCGCCTCGGCCTCCCAAAGTGCTAGGATTATAGGCGTGAGCCACTGCGCCCGGCCTAGATAAGCTCTTTCTATGTAGCATCTCATTACATTCTCAAAATGATTCCATGGAGAGGGTACTACAGCTGCCCCTTGAAAACACAGGGTTGGGCAGGGATGCAAACCCCCAATGCAGTCAAAAATTTGTATGTAACTCTTGACTTCCCAAAAACTTAACTACAATATTGTCTATGAATGACTAGAAGCCTTTCAAATAACATAAACAGTGAATTCCTCCATTCCATGTGGTTTGGGGTAGTTCGGTAGGAAAAAAAACAGTCAATTAACACAGGTTTTGTATGTTATTTGTATTATATGCTATATAAGTCATTTATACAAAAAAGTAAGCTAGAGAAAAGAAAATGTTATTAAGAAAATCATGCCAGGTGCAGTGGCTCACGCCTGTAATCCCAGCACACTGGGAGGCTGAGGCAGGCGGATCACAAGGTCAGGAGATCAAGACCATCCTGGCCAACATGGTGAAACCCCATCTCTATTAAAAGTAGAAAAATTAGCCAGGCGTGGTGGCATGTGCCTGTAGTCCCAGGTACTTGGGAGGCTGAGGCAAGAAAATCGCTTGAACCAGGGAGTTGAAGGTCGCAGTGAGCCAAGATCGTGCACTCTAGCCCGGTGACAGAGCAAGACTCCATCTAGGAAAAAAAAAAAAAAGAAAGAAAGAAAATCACAAAGACTAGAAAATATATTTACTATTCATTAAGTGGAAGTAGATCATTATAAAGGTCTTCATCCTTGCAGTCTACACATTGAGTTGGCTGAGGAGGAGGAAGAGGAGGGATTGGTTTTGCTGTCTTAGTAATGGTAGAGGTGGAAGAAAATCCTTATATAAGTGAAACTGTGCAGCTCAAACCTATGTTGTTTGAGGATTAACTGTATTTTGCATTATTATTAGTAATAAATTTATTATTACTGTATTAAACATCAGTAAGAGGCTTAGAGAGATGAAGTGATTCAACCAAGTTAGTTAGAATTCAAACCCAGAGCTGAATTGCAGAGCAGGGACTTAACCACCATTTTTTCACTCTACTCCAAATTTTTCAGAACTGAAAGCAACTGTATTCTTTTTCATGGAATCTTAGGCACCCTAACTATCCCTCTCACAAATATACTCATGACCTCACGAATTTGCTCATGTGCGGTTAGTCAGGTCTATTGATTGGACCTATGTTGAAGCAACTAGGGTGGACCTCCCTTTGCTGCTGGCCCATGTGGATATAAGGTATAAGCAGCTCAGATTCAAGAGGAATGTGGGAAAAGTAGAGCTCAGCAAACCCAGTTTTTCCTGAATGTACCAATTAGGTAAATCACTCCTCCCCTGACCATGGACAGAGGGAATAAACGAGCAGAGAGGTCAGATATATTATTACACTACTTGAGCTGCCTCCCTCATGGAAGGAAGTAGCAGAGGAGGAGAGGTAAGTGTTCCCCCCACTAAGAATCAGATATGGGAAATAAGACATATATACCTATTTGTATGTACATGTGTGTATTTGTAGTGCTATGATTTGAATGCTGGTGTCCCCAACATTCAACGATTGTCCCCACCAACAATGTTGGTATCCCCCCAGAATTCTTATGCCCAATGTGATACTATTAAGAAGATGCTTATGGGAAGTGATACTATTAAGAAGATGCTTACAGAAGGTGATGCTAATGTTGCTGGTCTAGAGACCATTCCTTGGGAACCGCTGGTTTTAAGACCAATGGTTCTCAACTGTGAATGCATATTAGAATAAGGCAACTCTTGCTGTGTCCGTACAAGGTGAAAGAGGCAAAGGAGTTCACTCCAACCCTCATGACAGCTCCACCCTCTTGAACGAGATTA